TTTGGGCTTGTGCATATAACTGGGGATAGTAAGCTCTGTTCCTCAGATTCCCAAAATAGAGTTATTATTGGGAATAAAACTGGCAGCAGAACGCTTAGGATTTAAGTTCATGAATTTGTTGCTGACCATCTGCTTCGTGCAAGTTTCAGTTACAAAAGAACATTCGTTATTGTCAGGAGAACAAGACAGACCTTTGTCCCTGTCCTCACAGAGCCTGCGGTCTAGTTGGGGAAACAAATAACTATAATACCAGCAGATAAAGGTTTGGAGAATTAAAATCAAGATTCTAGGAACACACTGCAAAGGATACCCCTTAGTTCGGGAAGGTTAGGTAAGGCTTCCTAGGAGAAAGGGCCTCTCAAGTCAGATCTGAAAAGTGAAGGAGTCCAGCAAGGTGGCGTGGGGTTATTTAAGGCAGAGAAATAGTATGTGCAGAGGCCTTAAGCAACAAAGAAGAATGTGGTCTGTATGTATAGGAGCAGAAGGAAAGTCAGCTTGGCTGAAATGGCGAGGTAAGCTCTTGAAGAACCTGATAAGGCCTTTTTATGATATTTGGATTTTGCCCCCAGGATAATGGGATCAGGGAGTGATGTGCTCAGTTTTGTATTTTGTAAGGATCCCACTGAGGATTCCTGACACTTAGAGACCAAGGAAACGAGCATTTCTTACACTCAGCAGAAAATGATCAGGTCACCTCTATACCCAAGGGTAAAGGTACAAGGTTCTTCATGCAACCTATTTCCTGTAGCACCAATGAGATGTTACCATGTGACCCAAGAAAGCACAGGGGCTATGCGCTCAGCCTGCGAAGAAGACAGATGACTCAAATTCAAACTCTAGCTCTATCACGTTCTATCCAACACTTTTAACTTTGGGCAAGTCCTGAAACCCTCTACATCTTAAAGTGGACTTAACAATAGTTACCTCGTAAGGCTGCTGTGCAGATGAAGCTCTATATGTGAGCCAGTAAGACAGCAGCTACCATAATACTATTCAGTCTTAGTCATTATCATCCCAAGTATGCCAGTCAACCCACCGCAAGCATTAAGAACCACTGCTTTAGACTACATTAAATGTTTTCAAGCCATATAAACACTTTCTTTAGAAGCCATCTAATTTCTTTAGGAAAAGTAGCTTACACAAATAAATCTTTGTCTTTAACACTTACCAGTTGTCCATTTGAATATTTTAACATTGAAAATGGGATGTTAAGATAACACAATTATTTAAAAATAAGCTTTATTTCAATCTTGGGGCCTTATGTCCTATTCGGACAAATATCTGCTGTCCTAAGTGAAGTTTCTAGGACTATTTGCAGGTAAGCTTCAGAATCAGAGCGTAGTTAGAAATCAGACTGCCTAACTAAACTTCTATGGCCATGAGTCTAAAGGAATTTGAATAAATCCTTGTATCTAATAATCAGATTATAGAAAATTCAAACAAAAAGCATTTAGGCCTAAATACAGACATGGAGAGGACCAAAGAACCAGTCGTGGATTCACCATGAAACGTAAAACCCTCCTCTATCCAGCAGCCTCCTTGCTGCTCTATTTGTGAGATGTAAATGCTAAGTCCCTGTCCAGAAATCTGAGGAATTATACATTTTACAAGAGAACACAGACTACAAGTCAAGACATAATGCCAAAGGTTAATTAAAATTAACTAAAAAGGGGCACCTGGGTGGCTCAGTCATTAAGCGTCTGCCTTCGGCTCAGGTCATGTTCCCAGGGTCCTGAGATCGAGCCCCACATCAGGCTCCCTGCTCAGCGGGAAGCCTGCTTCTCTCTCTTCCACTCCCCCTGCTTGTGTTCCCTCTCTCGTTGTGTCTCTCTCTGTCAAATAAATAAATAAAATCTTTTTAAAAAAATTAACTAAAAATATTTGTGTCACTCACCACTAATACTGCAGACAGACAGGATATTAAAATCGTTGCAGAGCTGATTGAGTCGGGGTCCAAGACCACTCCCAGTTCAATGATCAGGAGGAGAACTCCCAGGATCCTGCCTATAGTCCTACTCATGGCTATGGTTTGTTACAGCAAGAGGATACAAATCAGCAAAGGGAAAAGGCCCCCCATGGGATAAAGTCCAGAGGCGATCAGGAGAAAGCTTCCAAGGGTCCTGTCCCAGGGGAATCACACAGGTTGTGCTTAATTTCCCAGCACTGAGTTGTGACAGCACCTGTGAAATACAGTCTACGCCGGGAAGCTCATTAGTGGACTCAGCGTCTGGGGTTTCTTTGGGGCTGGTCACATAGAAACCTGCCATTGGGCATATACCCAAATTCCATACTCCTGGAATGCAAGCAGGTATTCAACAGAAACTGTCTTGTTTGCTCAGCTGAGGCACAGTGAGCTACACTAACGAGGGAACCCTCCCCAAATCTAAGTTCCCAGATGCCAGCCAAGGGCCAAGGTTGCAAGCAGGCCTTTCAAAAAGAGCAGTCTCAGGCCCGCTGTGTGAACTCATATTTGCATACTGTCCTATTTCAATTAGCAATATAAGACCAAATTAAGGAGAAAAGTCTTACTTTTAGCAGGTCACCCGGGTACATCATGAGCCTGAGAAGCACTCTTATCCTATGTATTTTCAGTATTTAAAATGTAGCATTTTTAATGTGGACAACCATGGTCTTAAATTACATAATAGAAGATTTAAGATTTTTTTTGTACAGTAAAAAAAAAAAAGCTGCCTTCTAGTCCTATTTACTTTTCTGAGCATCTTCTTTTATAAAATACCACTGAAAATTCTGAACAAAAAGTGTTCCTAAACTGAAACTACTCTCAGAAACCATTTAGCCTAGCAGATTGGTGATAAAATTCAGGCCCAGATAACAGCTACCCTCACAAGTTTCTAGCAGGAATGGAGTAAGAAAAACTCCCTCTGGGAAGCAATTTGACAAGGTATCTTATCAAAATTATACATATACCTTATGACCTACAATTCTGCTCTGCAAATGTATACACATATAATTGTGTACATGCAGAATAACCTATGTACAAAGTTATTTATTGTGGCATTGTTTAAGAGCAAAGGACTGGCCACAACCCAAATGTCCATCAATAGGTCACTATTTAAATTGTGGTACATCCATACAATGGACTACTCTGTAACTGTTGAGGAAAAAAAAAAAGAATGAGGAAGCTCTCTTAGTACTGATTTGTTAAACCGTCCTACATATATATTCGGAGAAAAACATACATTACACAGAAGTACAGTTTACTATCTTTTACCTTATGAAAAGAGCAAATATGGATATAAATTGTGTATAGAGAAACTCTGGAAGGATGCATCAGACACAGATAACAGAGGCTGGCAGAGGGTAATGGAGGCAGAATTTGGGCATTATCTGTGAACCTAAAAAAATGTATTAAAAGGACATACTTGACAGGTGATGTTTCTTTCTCTTCTAAGGCCAGGTTATATTAAGCCGGCACCTTTTTGATGTGTGGATCATTTTACTAGGCTTCTGTATTTCTGCGTGGTTAAACGAGAGCATAAGATCGCTTTATTTTACTTTCCAGATCGGGTTTCCACTCTCTTCCTTTTCAACGAGTTTGCCTGTCAGCTGGAAGGGGGTTTCCCCAGGACACCTGACAGTGAATAAAGTTCTCTGTGCCTCCCTTTGCCCATTTGCCTACTTGGGAAATTTGGGGGATTCTTAAAAGCTCCATTTCTGAAAGCAGGGATTTTGTTTTGTTCACTGCCTTATTCGCAACACTGAACAGAGCGCCTGGCACACAGAAATTGCTCAGTAAGTATTTGTTGAATAAATGAGTTCTTTTCTTCATCCAGCTTCAATGGTACAGACACTACCAGACAAAGAGGGAGATATCACTGGGGTCAAATATTCAGAAATTGCTGTCATTCCTAGTATCGGCTCTATATAGGCATTCTAATCCGAGCAACATTCCTAGAATTATTTTGAATTTTACAGAAGACAAACAAATAAGCCTATAGAATGCTGTGCTGAACAATGACTCTTAAATAGTCATAAACATTTATTTTTAATTAACTTGGGATTACAAGACCCTGGAGTCCATCTTAGGGCTTAAATCTTTTTAGGCAAACACCACACTAATTAGTAATGATCAAAAAAGAATGGCTTCTAGAAGAGTCAAATGAGCCCCCAGTCATAAGGTGCCCATAAGCTGTATAGAAAATATTTTGCATTAAAATGTAACTGCTGGGGCGCCTAGGTGGTGAGGTCGTTTAAGCCTCAGACTCTCAGTTTTGGCTCCGGTCCTGATCTCAAGATCGTCAGATCGAGCCCCACATGGGGCTCCACACTCAGCACGGAGTCTGCTTAAGTTTCTCTCTCCCTCTGTTCCTCCCCCTACTCGCGCTCTCTCTCTCTCTAAAATAAGTGAATAAATATTTTTTAAAAATGTAACTCTTTTTATTTAAGAATAAAATTATCCTTCAAATTAAATTCAAATTAGTCTAGATAGCAAAAAGAATTGCACAATGTCCATCCTAAAAAACTTCCTCCTCAGTGGGCACAGAATGGGTATAACTACCACACCTTTTAAACCTTGGTTTTTAAATAACTATAAAAAACAAATAACTTTGCTAGTAATAATTTTAGTAATGTGGCCAAATAGGTGCACAGCTGACAGATGTTTCTTTGAAGATTTTTAGTGCCACAAACTTTTCTTAAGGCATGGGTGAGTCAGTTCCTGAGGGCTGTTTTTTGGCAGTACCACAGAGGGGTTAGGAGGTTTTCGTGTTACCTCTAGTTCTCTTACTGCCATTTAAGGCGACAATCCAATGAGTGAGGAAACATCCACTAACCTGGATCAGCATGAAATCTAAGACTCTCCTGAGGAAATTCTCAGTTAAGGAATTAATGGAATGTCTTAACTGAAAAGGGAAGATAGCAGAGAAGTTGCAGGACAACTAGTAGGTGACCAACCTTTAGCTGATGCAAATCACACTCATGACCCAGCAGCAGGAAGCACCGAACCTTGTGGGTGCAGATGGGAGGACACCGAACCCAACCTTGGTTCTCCTACCAGTCAACACCCCCTGTCTTGTAGCAGACCCTTTCTGCGAAGAGTGGTATGGGGCCGAGCATGACAGCTCTAAAAGATGGAGAAAGTGAGAGGTTCAATAAGAAAGATGCTTTGTTCTTACATGTTTTGTTGGTTTTCTGGAGATGGAGGTGAAATGAAGGGCTAATCCTGTCCTCCTGGAAGCGTCACGAGGAAAACACGGACTCTACCAGGTACCGGCATTTGAGGAACCCGGCCGTTCATTCGGCTGCCACTGACTTAATACACACCAGACCCTGTTCAGAGGTGGAGCAGTGAAGGTGGGCGGATTCCTGACCCTCACGATGCTCCCATTCTAATGTGGAAACCAACAAGTAGATAAACAAGAAGACTGTGAGAAATGCCACCGAGAGAGGTCAATCAGGCATCAGAGCAAGGCTGGTGCGGCTCATGTAGGGAGTGGTCAGGGATGCTGAGGGGACGCTACTTAGGACAATAACAGTGGGGGAGGTGGAGGAGCGGGGAGCCAGGGAAGAAGAGCACTCTAGGCCAAAGGAGCAGCTGGTTCAAAAGCCCTGAGGCAGGAAGGTGCCAGGCAGGTTTGAAGAATGGAAAGGCAGGCATTGGTGAAGATTGTGATCAGAGGAGTAGTGAAGGCCGGGGGCAAAGGCCCGGGCGCTGAGGGCTCTGCAGGTCAGGTGGATGGACTGCCCACAGACACAGCAGAGTTCAGCGTCCCGGAAGCCCAGGCTGCTATGAGGTGTCTACTCTGTCACTTCCTAAGACAATGCTGGAAGATTCTCTCTGAAATACAGCTGCTGCAATCTTTTCATGGAGTTTTTCAAAAGACTTTAACTGTTTATAACTTGGTATTAATGATAGTAATAATATATTCAGCTTACAGATTTTTTTCAATTACATAGCTAACATGGTGCCTTTCATCTAGTCAAACTCAGAATGTGTCCCCTTGTCAAAAAGAATGGGTAAGGGCGGGTGGTTGGTAGAATGCAAATTCATGCTTACTACGCCAAAAACTCTTTTTTTTTTAAAGATTCTTTTATTTACTTATTTGTTAGAGAGAATGTGGGCGAGAGTGAGCAAGGGTACAAGCAGGGGGAGCTGCAGGCAGAGGGAGAAGCAGGCTCCCCGCTGAGCAAGGAGCCCGATGCGGGACTCGATCCCAGGGCACTGGGATCACGACCCAAGCCAAAGGCAGACGCTTAACCGACTGAGCCACCCAGGCGTCCCACTACGCCAAAAACTCTTAAGTACACATCCTAATGTCGTGTCATGCTAAGAAAGGACCCATTTAAAAAAAATCACAGAAGGTCATGATTTATTTTAATTTGAAATATATGTACCATGCATAACTTCATAAAGGAATCAAGTACATGATATAACATATGGAATAAAATGCTACTCTAAGAAGAGTAATGTAGAACCAGAGCCAGGTGAATACAGACCAGGGGTTCTCGGTCACAAGCTACAGTGGAAGAGGGAGGGGTCCCACCTGTGACTGAAGATTGTCCCACCTGCTCCAGGTAGGGAATCATTGCTAAGGTAGCTCAGCTGGGAGGTGGGGATGGTTAATGAACAAGGGCTCTGAAAACCTAACTCCACATTCAGCACCTGTGTGACTCCAGGAATGGTACTTAATCTCTTTGTGCCTCAGGTTCCTCATCTATAAATGGGAATAACAACAGTACAAACTCCGCGGGGTCCTCAAGAGGACTGAAGAGATTAATATTTATAATGCGTTCAGAAATAGCACCTGGCATATTGTGCACTATTGTTGAGTAACTAAAATAGAGAAAGACAAGGGGTAATAGAATGTACTAAGTCTTACAACGTGACAAAAACCGGCACTGAGCTGGCTGCATAGTTGGCTCATTTCCTTCGTACAGGGCAAAGCAAAAGAAGAAACAACATTTCCTAAGCTCAGAGAGAGAAAGTGTATGTATCTCTGTACCCGGATTTGGGAGAAAGAGGAGTGGGGAACTTGGTTTTGTTCCCCAAGGGACACAGCTCAAGAAATATGCTCGCAAGGGGTCTGTACACAGGAGGCGGGCTGTAAGCAACAGCACAGACCAGGCAGACGTCATCCGATGGTTTTTCAGGGTGTCCCTCAATACATTCCGAAGCGTAACTCTCTCGAGTTTCTCTGGTAGGAAGCCAAGGCAACGTGATACAAATAAGCAGCTTTGACGGCCCGGCTCATTTCAGGGATTCAACTGCACCAGAAATTCCTCCTGCACCTGCATTTTCTTCAGCCATGCTTCTGATAAGAGCTAAGGAGAAGACAGCTCCAGATTTGTAAAACAAATTCTCCAACATCAGGAGATGGACAAAATGCAGCCACATAAAAAAACCTAAGTAACCTGATGCATTGAAAGCAACTTTCCCCAGAAGCATCTGTTTTTAAGTCTAATGGACTTGAGAGTTGTTGTCTGGCAAAGAACAGCCATAAAATCGTCTTGGGGGATTAAACAATTTAAAAGAATATTGCTTTTGTCATACTCATCTCAGGCTCTACCTAGCAGTAAAACATGGAGAGTTTCCAAATGACAAAAGCCACTGTGGTTAAGATGCATTTTATTGTAAGTTGGAATGTAGAATATAAATTGGAAAAGAGGTGAATTTTTATTTTATTAGAGAGCAAATCTTAGCTAGAAAAGGACCTCTATTGCTCCAGATACTCCCGTCCTCTACACAGAAGACGCGGTACCACTGAACTCCCATGGTTATTCCACAATTCCTACAAAGAAGATGGCGTCCCCGTGGTTTGTCAACCTTTTTCATTCCAGCAGGCAAAGTATGTTGTTCTTAAGGCTAATTATTTAAGAATTTTTCTTCAGTGTTCATCTTCAAATTGTTAATCAACTATAGCAGTATATTTTCACGTTAATACTTGTGAGGTATTGTTAAGCCACCGAAGAAAGCTGTTTGATGAATTCACGTGCAGTTCACCAGCAAGGGAGAGCCAGGGACAGCATGTATTAACTAATCCCTAGGTATGCTTGGACAGGCCTCATTTCCTCACAGAAGGCTTTCTTCATTCCTCCAGGCTGCATTAGGGTCCCCTTCACCAAAGCCACATTATCCGCTTTCTCCATCATAACAGTTTGATAAGTATAATTATGTAGTCAATTGTTAGCAAAGATTTACTTGTCTCTTTTCTGTACACTCCATGAGGGAAGGGACCATATCTGTCAGGTTTTCTGCTGTCTCCCCGGCACACAGGTCAATGGGTATTTGTTCACGGCCTAACTCCCTCTTTATAAGACAGTGAGCTGTGTTCCTAAAGAGTCCCATGTAAGCTTTTTACAAGTCAGATAAGGAAGTCGCTGAAATAATCCTATAGAGGGCGAGGGAGAGGGAAAGCATTGTAATATTATAAAACTGACAAACTTGATGCCTTGGGTATTTTCAGAAGCAGAGTCTTTGTATGTACATATGGCAGATATGAATGAGAGTGTGAAGGAGAAAAGGAGGAATAGGAATGACCCACCAATTTAAATGGGTACTTTAAGAGTAAAATTATGTTATGAGAACTCAAATAGTGTTTTCTAATTATAGACTCTTAAATTTAAAATATCTTGAAAGGTCACTCTGTACCTCCCTCTGCCTAATACAGACTGCATTCAAAATATCCCAGAAATAGGAGTAAATTTTTTTTTTTTTTTTTTTTTTTTTAAAGCTAGAGGGAAAGGTTGAACAACAGATTAAAAAGCCCTGTGTCTTGCAACCTCTGCTCTCTATAGTTTTTCTGTTAGGTCTTCCACAAATGTAGTTCACAAATCTGGCAATCTAGTCCTTTCCTTCATGACACAAAGGTATTACTGTTCTAGCCAAACTCCTCAACAACTTAAGAGTAAAAGTCATAAGAAATGACAAGATACAACAGTGAAACTTAAATAATTCTTTAACTTTATGAAATGCTTTCCAATCTTCTGCAGCAAAAGAAAATAACCCTTTTGTACTTTAATACTGAAAGTGAGAAAGTGTTTAACCTTACTGGTAAGCAAAGAAACCCAAATCAAAGTGAGAGGTCATGTTTTCACATATTAAGTTGGCTAAAAAACAAACCAAATCATCAAACTCCTCTCCAGGACTACTGTAAAACATTTCTTCTATTTTACAAACAACCTAAGAATGTGAACAAAGATTCAGCTCTGAGCCTCTAACGTTGTTGACAATAGTAAGAAGCTGGAAATAACGAAGTGTCCAACAACAGAGGATTGCTTAAATACACTGTGGTGGATGGACACAATGGAATACAAAATACTTCCTTACCGTGTTTAGTGGGGAGTGACAAGAGGTTCATGATACATTCAAGAGTACAAACCAGCAATATGTGTATGACCCTATTTATCCTGTAAAGTTGCATGTGTAAACACAATGCTGGAAAGATAATGCAAAATAGTAACAGGTGACAGATTTATATGTGACTTAAACCTTCCTTCTTATCCAGGTTTAAATGTTTCTAAAATAAACACGAGTTGTTATAATTAAAAAGTTAGAGAAAAGATGAGGCTAAAATCCCAACACAAATTTCCAAATGTCAGTTACCATATTAACAGTCTCTAAAAAAACATTTACCATAAGCACAAAGTCTGTTTAGTATCATTATGTACCAAGGATAAAAATAATAAACCCTATTTTTCATTTTGGTCACTGTGTGTGGTAAGCAAATAAAAACACTCTGTCCTGGAAACTTAAAAGTTTTCGTTTTAGCAAGATGCCTTTTGTGGTAATGTACCACCAAGTAGCAAAGAGGTCAGCCTCTCTGGTTAAATATGGCATAATTATAGTTCATAAAATTAAAGCAAAATGTACATATGTACATAGTGCATAAAGCAAAATGTACTATGATTACTCTGGCTCAAACAAAATCTTGTCTTTTAAAATAAAAATGAAGCTAGAAGTAAAAATGAAATGAGACATGAATAAATATGAACTAAGATGGAAACAAATTTGGGAGGGGGTTGTTATTAGTAAGAGGCTGCCAGAGAGAGTTCACCTCTGGTCAGGGAGAGAGTACATTTGTTGGAGGCAGAGTAGCTCCTCAGGATACACGTAAGTATTATAAT